GTGAAGAAAATATGAAAATTTGTATGGGAGGTACCCGTAAATCACTTTCGATTGGCTTCAAAATTCCAGGGATTGAGTTTTTTGGTGAAAAAATAAGATACAGAAAGTTTCGTGACGTTTGGAATATCACAAATGGGTTTTTTCTCCATAAAATCTCGTTTACCAATCTAAATCTTGCGCTGGCTTACAATTCTTAAAAACATACAAAAGATATGGTTTTTTGTGCTTAGTTTGAATCTTACTAAAGGTTTTAGATAAAAAAAACTGCCGAAAAAGGGGATTTTTCATGACAATTTTCCATAAAATGTGAAAGTTAGATACTGAGGATTCTCGTAAAATCATATTTTTGCAAATTCCGACTCAAAAATGGTTCAAAGTGCTTGCTTTTCATTACGGATTTACGTTTTTTTATTGATTCACTTCAAAATTTTGCGTGAAGAATAATTAAATTGCGCATTTAAAAGCTAAATTTTGAGGATATTTACGAAAAATGATACTTTTAACTGTTTGGACCCAAAAATAGTCCGAAGTAGCTATGTTTTATTGCTGATTTGAGTTTCTTTGGTCATTTTTCACTAGTTTTGACCCGTTCGTCACATAGAATTGCATGAAAAAGCAAAAAACCAAGTAAAACTAAATTTTGAAAATCTTCTGCAAAGCAAATTTTTCAAATGACCATAATTTTCTTATATGGAACCAATTTGGCAAAACCCTTTTGAGGGTTTCATGTCTCATGGGCCTCTCCAAACTTTGATGTATCCGCTCTGGGTTAGGCAACTTTGACTTTTTTTTGTCGCACAGTGTAATAATAATAATAAATTATTATTGTTGTTGTACACTCACTGTGCTGCGAATGTCTCGTATACACAATCACACGAATTCACAAATATTCGTACGGATTCGTCTCAAGCGTTTGTGTTCTTACCCCCTAGGATGATTGTCTGCAATTGCAAGCGGATTTGAATGAGCTTGTTGAATACTTTAATCGGAATCAGCTAAAATTGAATGTGTCAAAGACTAAATTTGTGTCATTTTATCGTGGAGACATGAAATTCAACTTCAAGTATTCAATTGGCAACGAGCAAATTGAGCGAGTCAACGTGATAAAAGATCTGGGAGTTATACTCGATCATAAATTGAACTTTACTGGACACATTGAATACATTACAGCCAAAGCAAAATCACGTTTGGCCTGGATTAAACGATTTGGTAGAGAGTTTGAGGATCCATGGACCATGAAGAGACTATTTAACACATTTGTCCTTCCGATTGTCGAATATGCATTGTCTCAAGTATGGAATCCATACACAGCTGAAAAGATTGCCCGAGTTGAATCCATCTAGAAACAATTTCTGTTGTTTGCACTTCGTAAAATGAAATGGCCACACAGATTTAGGAAACCACCATATGAATGACGACTGCTTGAATTACAAATGATAACGCTCGAAGAACGGAGAAAAGTAGCCCAAATATTACTCGTACATAATGTGATGTGTGGACATACATCATCGAAACACATTTTGAGCAAAATAAATATTAGAACATCGCGACATGGGACAAGAAACTCAAATTTCCTATCATTACCAATGCGTCATCGTGATTACTCAAAGTTCGAGCCTATAAATTATATGCTGATGACATACAATCAATTTTATAAATATTTTGTTCCTATCAAACCGCCTAATCTACCTAATGAATGCAATGTAACTACGATCCCAAATTGTGATACTTATTTGATTGATTTTAACACAAATACAAATACTGTCCAACATAGAGTTACCGAATATTTTAAAAGAAGCAGAATTTGGAGAGAGTAAAATGAAATATTTAAAATATCCAATTGTAAATATTGTAAATATAAAATAATATTTATACTAAATAAACCACCTCTGGTGAAGAATAATAATAAATAATAATAATAATAATAATTAAATTTTTGTGGCTTGCGTCAACATAGCTTAGTAAGAAACTGCGATGTAAAAGTGCTAGATCTCGTTTTATCAACTGAAGAGATGGACACAGTTTCAGTTATTCGTTCTAATTCAAGTCTACTGCCCGTTAATACATATCACCCACCAACAACAAGAAGAAAGAAAAATAACAGGCATCCTTTTTGGTTTAGCTCCGATCTTATAAGCTCATTAAAACAAAAGGAAAAACTTAGACAAAAATGGAAAAATCAACAAACACAGGAATATTACGCCCAACCAACATGGATTCATGAAAGGACGATCTACAGCATCAAATCTAACCGAGTTTGTGTACTACGCCCGGAGTGGCTTGAACATTGGAGCTCAAGTTGATGTCCTGTACACGGACTTTACGAAAGCCTTTGATCGAGTTGATCACAACATTTTGATTCAAAAATTGAGTTCATTCAATCTACCTCAAGAGGAGCGATAAGATCTTCTATGTAACGTTTGCCTAAAATGATGTTGTAGTTAAAATACAGTTGGCGCCACAAACAACTGTCAGTTAACAACAACAACTTTATGGTGAATTCAAAAACAGTGTTTGATTTCTTGAAAAGAATGGAAAGATTTGTTTTAATATCGTATGAATTTCATTGAAGCACAAGAAATACTATATAAATTACAATTAAACCGAATTATTTGGCCGAGAAAGAGTTGAATATAATTATAACAGTTATCTGTTATGTGATTTCAAAATATATACACTGCTTACGCTATTCCACACAAACACATTGATGAAATCATGTGCATTGAATTTTCATCGTTGATCTCGAATAATTCCTCGTTGCCATCAGCGCGAATTGAAATGAAAATATAAATGCGTTCGTTGTACATTTTTCTTTATTAAGCTTATTCTTTGGTTGTTACTCATACGAACGACAACTACGGAATGATTATATCACTAGTCTTGACATTATATATATCTTGGCACGAGATCTGACTGTCAGAAAAAAGAATCGCACAACGCATTATTTTTATTTTCAACTGAAATGTCACTTTAGGCAAAAATCTTACCGCTTCTTTGCTGACAAGGCTAAAATCGTACCTGGAGAATCGTATTCAATTTGTCAAGCATGGAGCAAGTGAGTCGGATGATTTTACAGCGTCGTCGGGAGTCCCTCAGGGGAGCCACCTTGGTCCAACACTATTCCTGCTATTTATCAACGACATCTTGGATCAAATGCCCCCAGACATCATGATATCACTGTTGGCTGATGATATCAAAATAGCCAAAATCATCAAATCTCAACAAGATTCAGAGTTACTACAACAAGCCATTGACACACTAAAACATTGGTGCGACGTAAACTTGCTTCCCTTAACGTCAAAAAATGCGCCGTGATATATATCTACAAGAAACGTCAGCATTTGGATACCTATGACGATCACACCTTCGACAAAATGACTGAACACAAGGACTTGGGTGTTCTAATTGACAGAAGGCTATCTTTTGCCAAACACATCGACATGGTCACTTCGAAGCCAACGACTGCACTTGGCTTTTTCAAACGCTTCTGCCACGATATCACCGACGTTACCACACTTAAGTCGCTGTATTTTGCATTGATTCAATCTCACCTCGATTACTGCGCCATGGTATTGTGTGGCGACAGAAGTTAGGCTGAGATGAGGAGATTGAAGACGATGCGGATGATGGCTATATATCGCCAGCGATTGGGACGCATTCCGCCGAGATCTACCTACCGTGGAAAAAATCCGGATTCCGCGATGGATAAAATGCAGCCAAATGCAAAAACGAAATTGCACGGTTTCAGCGACGCGTCTGACGATGCATATGGCATATCATTTTACATACGCGTTGAAACTATTGAAGGAGAAATCGATACACACCTAGTGTTTTTGAAGATCAGAGTTTCACCCACGACAAAAGCGACAGTGCCGAAACTGGAATTGAGCGCTGCTCATTTGATGGCCAAAATGCTATCGAGTGTCAGGGAAACCCACGATGTGGCCATGAATGATTGCTATTTGTGGTCGGATTCGATGATCGTGCTGCATTGGATCCGGAAAAGTCCAGCCAAATTGGAGGTGTCTCAAGCAAACAGAGTTGCAGAAATCCAAGAGCTCACTGAAGGAGCAGCTTGGGCCCATTTCGCCACCAAAGATAATCCAGCAGATTTGTGTTCAAGAGGCGTGTTACCAAGTAAGTTGATCAACACCAAGTTATGGTGCCATGGGCCCTCTTGGTTACGATCGCCGCAGCCATCGTGGCCGGAAAGCAAGCTCAACCTCAGCCAACACGATGCCAAGATCGTTGAATCGGCTACGAAAAATGCAAAACCAGTGATTGGTTTCTCCCATGCTGAACCCGAGCAGACGACCACCAAAACTGTCCGACTAGGAGGAGAATTGGTCGACATCGGATTGCAACAGGCCATCAAGATTAGCACGTGTGACTGCCTACGTCTTGCGATTCATACACAACACTTGCAACAAATCAAATCGACTCACCGGAGCCATATCCCGTGATGAGATGATTGATGCTGAGACAGTGTGGATTCGATATAGCCACCCGGCAATATTCTGTCAATTTTTGTATGTAAAACATGGAGTGTGAAATAGTAGAGCGCCACTACTAGAGAACGGCATAATGCGAAAGAAAAAATTTCAAATTTGTTCGCGCTCAAATTCACTCCGTCATATTCATTCTTGTTTTGATGTCGAAACAGTGAAAAAAAATAATAAATAAATAAAAAAAATAAATTTGAAATAAAATAAAATACAATTTAAATTAAATCCGCACATATTTTACATGTTATATTTGTCATATGATTTCGCAATATTTCATAATATTTCGTCACCATTATGGATTATTGCGAAATCATACGACAAACAGCAAAACATGTTAAATATGTGCGGATTTAATTTAAATTGTATTTTATTTTATTTCAAATTTATTTTTTTTATTTTTTTATTATGTTTTTCACTGTTTCGACATCAAAACAAGAATGAATATGACGGAATGAATTTGAGCGCAAACAAATTTGAACTAAGTGTTATCATCACTCTGTAGCGGCGCTCTACAATTGTTCGCCCTTTCGTTATCATCGTGCGGATATAGCCAAAAAACATCTTCGCCAAGGAAATCGACGATTGCCAAAATCGAAAGCCGCTTGACAAATCATCGCCACTGCACAAGTTATCACCATTCATCGACGACAAAGGAGTGTTGCGGTTAAGCGGGCGTTTGCAACAATCTGGAATGCCAAACGATTCCATTCACCCCATGGTGCTGACCAATAAATGCATCGTTGAATGACGCCTAGTCGATCATGCACACAACGTTACGCTTCATGGTGGTATCCAATTAACGCAACAATATTTACGGAATAAATATTGGATGATTGGGTTACGCACTCTGGTAAAAAGCATAGTAAATCATTGTTTGCCTTGCGTCCGCCAACGGAAAGAAAATGCCGAGCAATTGATGGGCCAATTACCGCCGTCGAGAGTACGTCCAGGGCGCGCATTTGCACACACTAGCGTAGCTTATCTAGGGCCAATCCTAGTGAAGCGGTATAATGCGACCAGAGCAAAAATAGTTGAAAAGGGCTACGTGTCAGTATTCGTGTGCATGAAAACTCGGGCTGTACATCTGGAATTAGTCAGCTCTCTCACCACTGAGGCTTTTCTCGGTGCATATTCTCGATGTACGTACCGACGCGGTAAAATTGAAGAAATGTAGAGCAACAATGGCACTACATTTCAAGGTGCCTCCAATGAGATGGAAAAGATCAACAAGGATTGGAAGGACGCTGCCGAAAGCGAACTGTCTTGACAAAATGCCACCAAATGGAACTTTTTGCCGCCACACGCGCCACACATGGGAGGCATTGATGAAGCAGCAGTAAAAAGCGCCAAGCACCATTTACGCCGTGTCATCGGAAATCATCAGTTATTAACGTTCGAACAATTGGCTACTCTGTTAACTCACGTAGAAGCATGTCTCAATTCTCGTCCGTTTGGTATCGTCACCAATGAACCATTACTTTCACTACTGCAACCAGATCGGTTGCAAACGCCAAGCAATCGTTTAACTCATTTCCAGCAGATGCAGAAAATGGGACAGGAGTTTTGGCAACGTTGGAGCGACGAACACGTCAAAACATTGCTAAATCAAAACAAATGGTGCCAGAGCCAACGAAATCTTGAGTCGGATGACATAGTCCTTGTGGAAAATGAATTACTACCACCGACTCAATGGCCGCTTGGTACAATCATCACTTTCTACTCCGATTCAGAGGATCACGTGAGGATGGCCGACGTACTGTTCAACGGAACCATCAACCGCCGACCAATCCACAAGCTGTGCCTTCTGCCAAAAAAGATGAATAACAAATAACCTACCGTTCTGCCGTCGCCACCGCCGAGCGGGAGCATGTTCGAAATCGAACAACGTTTTTGAATTTGTCTAAAATGAGTTAAACTATTGTCAAGCCTATTGTCAACTAATGAAATAATGAAACGATGAAATCTGGTATGATTGTCATACTAGCGGTGGCGCTGTCGTTTGACAGCACCGGCAGAATAAATCACTACCTTAACGAAGACGAACGCGTTTTATTTATGGTCCAAACGACTGCGAGATAATTTTTTGATTTGATTTTTTTTTTTGAATTTCTCTGCAAACCAATCGACGAAATTAAGTGATTAAGCGAATTGTGATTGATTGAGCGAATTTTTTTTATTGGAAATTGTGCGATTTTGAGCGAATTGAATTGGAACCGAACAATTGAGACAGCGAACACATTTTTTTTTCTCTTCTCCGAATCGAACGGTGCAATCGAAACAGCAACAACAACAACAACGAGTGCAGCATCAGCACACCAAACCGAAACGAACGAGAAACATTTGCAGAGCGATTTCAAAGTGATTTTTTCCGTGGCTGTTTTTTTTTTCCATGTGCATTTTGAAAGCATTTTGAACATTTTTTGTTGGATTTGGACAAAAGAGACACAATTTGTCGAGCGAGTTAACGGCGATTTTTCCCATTTCTGATTTTTTCCAGCGTGCACTGTTTTTGGATTTTTTTTGCCTTCAATATTGAGCGATTTATTGAGCGATTTGATTTTTTTTCTTCTCTCTGAATCGAACGGGTTGTGCGCAACAACAACAACGAGCAGGTGCAGCACACCACACCACACCACAGCGACCGAATTCCAAGAAACGAACGAGAGACATTTTGTGTGCGAATCGAGTGTGGAATTTTACCAACAGTTTTGAGCGAAGTGAATTTTTTGAACGAATTTGTCGAGCGATTGAGTGGCGAAATTGAAAAAAACTGAATTCGTGTGAAGAAGATTGACATCGAAGAAACATTTGTAGAGCGATTGAATTATGATTTTTTTTTCCCCGTTTTTGAGTTTTTTCCCATGTGCATTTTGGGAACAATTCGAACTTTTTTCGGATTTTTGAACGAACGAGAAACATTAGAGCGATTTGAGAGTGATTTTTTTCCGTTGCTGATTTTGTCCAAGTGCATTTTGAGAACAATTTAAACATTTTTTTTGGATTTTGGACGAACGAGAGACATTTGTCAACCGATTCAACTGCGATTTTTTTTCCACGTTTCTGAATCATTTTTCCGCGTGCACTGTGAGAGCGAATTGAACATTTTTTGGATTTTTCTTGCCTTCAATCTTGAACGATTTAACGGCGATTTTTTCCCGTTTCTGGTTTTTTTCCACGAGCATTAAAGTGAGACTCACCGAACAATTTTTTTTCTTTCTCCATCGAACGGTTCGAGTAAACAACAACAACAACGAGCGTGCACCACAGCCAAAGAGAGACATTTGTCGACCGATTTAACTGCGATTTTTTTCCCGTTTCTGGTTTTTTTTTCCACGTACATTATGAGAGCGATTTGAATATTTTTGTGACTTTTTCTTCAGTTTTCAACCATGAGCGAATTTTGAAAGATTTTTTATTGAAACTGTACAAGAGAAAATTACTTTACCGAGTTTGAGCAAATAAGGTCACCTTGAAGCGATTGCATTGAAATGCATACACAAGCGAAATAAATCAGTTCTGGTTGAGACACCGAATAGCTTATTATTTCTACAATTATTAAGCAATTTTTTTCCGCGAAACCAAATGGGCGATTTAAATAGAAGACACATTCAACGGGGTGTGATTCGGCGAACAAGAGAATTTGCCATCGGTGCGAATTTCGAAAATATTGCATTGGCCGAATTGAAAGAAAGATTAAAGCGATTAAAAATAGCATTCGAAAAATACAACGAAGAGCATACAGAAATATGCGAAGCTGTTACTGATGAAGCTGCAATGGCAGTGCAAGATACAGAATTGGCCCAAACTGAAGCGATTTATTTCGAAGCGGCTGCGAAATTAGAAACCATAATCAAAACACTGGATAACGAATTTGAAGAAAATATGGCCAATAGAAATCAGCGAGGGCGAGCAAATGAACAAGTGGTTCAAAGAGAACATCGATCAGAAATGCGGTTAGAGCGATTAACGGTGAAAGTGTTCAACGGAAAATATTCTGAGTGGCCAGAATGGAAGGCAATGTATGAAAGTTTAATTCATAATGCGCAAGGACTAGATGAGACACAAAAATTCCATTACTTGGTGAAGACATTGCAAGATCCAGCAGCGCGATTGCTTAGTGGTTGGACAGTTGTGGGCGATAACTATCAAACGGCCTACCAAACAGTGAAAGATGTTTATGAGAGCGATGGATATATGTAAACACGAAACATAATCCTGCAGATATAGATTCAAAAAGATTGAAGCCAAGCGATTTATTTAATAACGATTTGTGGTGGCACGGTTCACAATTTATTTACGATCAAAGCGAAAAATCGGATCAACCGATACCTGAGATGTCTAAAGAAGAAGAAGAAATAACGAAAAGGGAATATCGACCACCGACTACGAAAATCATGAGTTTAAACCAAAGACAATGGCTAGCGAGGGGAAATATCCCATTGATTGATAGATATAGTGCGATAGGAAAAATTGTACGAATTACTGCATATGTTTTTAAAGCGATACCGATATTGTTTAATGCCTTGAAGAAGGGCGCGAAAAAACTCGAAATCAAAACGGGCGAAATACTTGGATCACTCACACCCAAGCTATTAACTGAAGCGACGAACTATTGGATAAAGTACACACAACTCAAGTACTTTAGTCCAGAATTGGAAGCCTTAAAGCGAAAAGATGTTATTAAATCATCAAGCAATTTGTTGCGAATAAATCCATTTCTAGATGCGGAAGGGATTATGCGAGTGAAAGGGCGATTAACGAACTTGAATGTCACATATGATGAAAGACATCCAATTATTCTACGAGCGAAATCAAGTTTCACAAAGCGATTGTTAGAGGAAGCTCACAAAGAGATGCTTCACGGTAACATACAATTAATGTTACATTATGTTCGAACGAAATATTGGGTAATTGGAGCGCGAAAAGCAGCAGCTAATGTAGCCAAAAGCTGTGTAAAATGTCGAAGATATGCGAATGCAGAGCGAACTCAGTTGATGAGTGATTTACCTGAAGTGCGATTGTCAAATTCGAGACCATTCGCCAACTGTGGGGTCGACTTCTTCGGGTCAATTCAAGTAAAGCGATATGAAGGACGATGCAAATCGATTGACACAGGCTATGGAGCTGTGTTTGTGTGTTTATCAACGAAAATGGTTCATATTGAATGTGTTTCAAATCTTACAACTGAACGATTCTTATGGGCACTAGCGAGATTAGCATCGATTTATCAAAAGCCAAAGGAAATGAGAAGCGATAATGGGAAAACATTTATCGGAGCAAAAAATGAATTGTGCGATGTGTTGAAAACTTGGAAATCAAACTTGTGCGATCAAATTCTCACTTTCGAGAGATATCAAACGTTGTTTGCCAAAATCACAAAGGTCTTGAACAGCCGTCCACTTGTACCATTGTCAGATGAACCGAGCGATCTGAATTATTTAACACCAGCTCACGCTGTGACTGGAGAAAGAACAGTTCAACCATTATCGATGGACTTGAGCGAGATTCCGATGAATCGTGTCAAACAACAAAGAATTCTCGACAAAATCCAACAAGATTTTTGGAATGTTTGGCGAAAAGAATACGTCAGCACTTTGCAAACGCGATATAAATGGAATAAAGTCGAATCAAATCTCAAAGTGGGCGATTTGGTAATTCTCAAGGTCGACAATTCACCACCTGGAGTGTGGCCACTAGCGCGAGTAATTGAAACATATCCTGGATCTGATGATTTAGTGCGAACAGTGAAGATAAAAACCACATCGAGCGAATTGGTACGACCAATCACCAAATTGGTGCGATTACATCCAGAAGAAGCGAATGATGCGAACACAGTGAATGAGGCGAAAATACAGTCTACAACCGAATGAGAAAATATGAAATTAGCTTTAAGTGAATTGTAATTTTCGATTGAATTGTACATATTTATTTTATTTTGCCTTCACTCCGTTCATGGGGTGGGAGGATGTCTAAAATGAGTTAAACTATTGTCAAGCCTATTGTCAACCAATGAAATAATGAAACGATGAAATCTGGTATGATTGTCATACTAGCGGTGGCGCTGTCGTTTGACAGCACCGGCAGAATAAATCACTACCTTAACGAAGACGAACGCGTTTTATTTAGAATTTTTTGATTGCGCTTCCATTGGAAGCGCGCCATATAAATAACGGTCGGACCACGGTTAGTGTTAGCATTTATTTTTTCAGTTTCTTTCTTTCGACTCAAACACTTTGTTGATAAACTCAACACTTTGGGAAGTGATTATCGTGTTAGAGGGTTTGAAAAAAAAACTAAATCGAAGAAATGTTCACGGGCAAAAACGCACTGACAACCGTCGTATAACAACCAAGCCAACTCCAAATTCACGACATTCCAGTAAAACCAACAACAACAGTAACAAATATCACACCAGAAATAACCACTAGAGACACAGTAAGAACATCCCAAGAGGAACAAATCGATTTAATGACAATAATCAACGTGATGATCGCACGACTAGATTCAGAGCTCAGACGTATAAAAATCGTAACTATTGCAACAATACACCTCATCATGAACCGCATCAGTATCATTGTGAACAAGTACCTTAAATGAATTTGCCAGCTCCTTTTTGGTACCAGCCGCCGTATTTTTCCCCTCCCCCGCAACAACAATACCACCATTCCGTCATTCTCAACATTTTCAACCACCTCCACAGGTTGCTCAACTGCTCAATGTTCAGTACCAAAACTAAATGTTCACCATCCAATTGATGATGTTGTGATGTACTGTAACAATGTGAACGGAGTGAAAGATAGTGACAAATGCCGCTTGAATCGCTACCATCGCCGCAAACAAATCCGTTATGAATATGAATCTGACTCTTTTTAAATAAAAAAAGGTAAAATAAAATTGTAAATTCAATTTCTCAACACACAGTTTATAAAAAAAAATTATTTGCATCAATAAAACTTAGAAAAACAACAATTATTCTACTGCAAACGATTCCCATTTGAAGTTTGAAACTTCGAAACTAACAGCGACATTTAACGAAAATCCGTTACAACACCCATTCGCCATATTGACAAGTGACAAGTGTGTTGTGGTTTCAAATTTCAAGTAGAAATCGTTTGCAGTGAAATAATTGTAGTTTTCCTAAGTTTTATTCATGCAAATAAAATATTTTTTATAAACTGTGTGTTGGGAAATTGAATTCACAACTTTATTCTACATTTTTTTTATTATAAAATATTTTTCGATTATTTTGTATTGAAAAAAGTCAGATTCATAACGGTTTTGTTTGAAACGCTGAAAGCACTGAGAACTTTTATTTTGTTTCAATATCAACCGACTAAAACGATACCTAGCGGATATGCTAGCCCTTTAATTTTTATGATAAAATTTGCAGTGGTCTTTCCCGCCGTACTTTGATACTTAACGATTTCAAAGAGTTAAGAAGAAGGGATGGGGAGGAGTGCTAATCGCTATTGAAAAGTCACTCGAACCGCAATGCATTGGTACTGCCGAACACATGAGTGCCGAACAAGTATGGGCAAAAGTAAGATGCAATGTAAGAGATTTGATACTGATTCAAATTTACATCTGACCTGCTGAATGTCTATAAAGCCCATATGATTACATTGCGTGAAATAGCATCTAATGCCAACGAAAACAATGTATTGCTAGGGTCAGGGGACTTCAACCTTCGTAACCTGATCTGGTATACATGCAATGCAAATGATGCTCACGATCTTGATGTCAATTTTGGTACGAATCCCAATGTAGCTATTGCTGTTAATATGGTGAGCGAAAAGAGGAAAATTGTCATCGATACGTGCCACGAGCTGGGATTGATGCAAATATGCACACACCACAATAAAAATAAGCGGATGTTGGACTTGCTATGGACCAATGAGCCCAACATGTTCACATGTAGTAAGAGTGAAAGCGAGATGGTAAAAGACGAAAAACAGGCACTTGAAGTAGTCATACATGATCAGTGTTTGGTTGAGATAAATGAAATTTATCTAGATAATTTCGAGATAATATCTTTTTTATTCAATTTTATCTAGATAATGTCGAGATAATTATCTATCTTTTGTTGAAAAAGATAAGATTATCTTATCTTTATCTGATCTTCTAGTCAGATAAAAGCCTATTGAAGGCTATGACATTAGTTTTTTTTTATAACAGAATTTTGCACTGAACATTTGTATTAATTTGAATAAATCGACAATTGGCTGTCAATTCACGTTTCGCTCCGGAGAGTTTGAAACGATTCTAGGCAGAATAAAGTGAATCAAATAGATTTTAAGGTCATAAGTTTCAAAACAACAAATTTATAATTTCATAACTTCTCGGCTTTGTATACAAAAATCAGTTTTTTTTCACCAAAAATTCAATTGTCATGATAGTTTCGAATGCATTGTTCAAGCCGAATATTCATATCAAACCTCACATCAGATTCATTGAAGACGGTCTATGAAACTCGAAGCATAAAGCCGAAATTGAAAATTTTCAATAATTTGAATTATTGGAGACATAAAAATTAAAAGAAAAGGAAATAATCTGTTTGTTTTGATGAATGATGAGTCGAACAAACGATTGAGAATGAAATATCAATCAGAAATTGAACGAAAATGTAAAAAAAATGTCAAAATGTTCCGTAAAATTCAAATGTTTTTCATTCAAAACCCACCCGTTCTACTTATGAAGCCTTCGTTTATCTTAAAATTTATCTAAAATATGACAATAGATAATTGGGAAAATATGAAGAAAAGATAAAGATAAGATAAATCCGCAAAATGAATTTTTCATCTAGATAAGATAAAAGATAATATCTTATCTATCTTATCTGGTTATCTCATCTTAAGATATTATCTCAACCAAACACTGTACATGATAAAGTTGATGTTAAAATTGATGATGAAATCACATACAAAGACTTTAAGAATGCCGACGATTCAATAATCAATGATTATTTCGATGATGCTAACTGGAACCACGTTTCCAATGAAATTGACTTGGCCAATGCCTTTGATCAGTTTTATTCAATAGTCAACACTGCAATCGATACGAATGTTGAAACGAGAACGAGAAGACAACAAATTCATCCGAAGTACAGATTTACATTTTCGATATGTTATTAATATGTTATTGCCCGACATATTTGTTATTATGTTATGTTGGAATTTTTTTTTCTTCTTAATAACGTTATCAAGATTTGGCATAATAATAACATAATATGTTATGCGTTATATCGGGTGTTATCTTGATAAATCCTATGATTCGGCGATAATAACATATTATTAGGATGGATATTATTAACTCAAATAATAACATACTATTAAGATGCCATCTTAATGACGCTTTTTCCGCGCATTTTTCAACGATCAATTTCCCGTGTTTTGTCTTCATTTCCGTGTGTGTATTGTACAAAAAAAAATTTCTGCGCTTTCTCTCCCTCCGACTTAATGCGCGAAAAAAGCAACAACATGAATCGTAAATGGAAGATATTCAGCAAATGATGCTCTAGCGGCATCTATACGGTAGAGTTTGGAAATTTGATTAAATGATTTCGTCACAAGGTTTACCCAAATATTGGAAATGGTATTTGTAAAAAATGGCATTTCAAACGTCATTCAAGATTCATGTTAGTGAACTTCCAATAGGGACAAACAGAACTCTGCAAGGTTTTGGATCTGAATATAATAACATTGTGCTTCACAGCGTTGGAAAAAAGCGTTATTAAGATTGTATCTTAATATGAGTAGTTTGGAGCGAAAATATTATACAGAAAAGTTGAAAGGCAAAATGTCAAATGAAAGGAGATAACTATATTATGCATAAAATTAAGTCAAATAATAAATGGGGAACACTTTCGTTCATAAATAGGGGTATTAGTTCTGTTGATATAATGAAACAAAGTGTTTTCCTTTTTTATTTTTTAA